AGCAACCCGCAGTGTGGTGTTCTGCCGTTATGCTCGCCTTGCTTTGAACATGTACTCTGGGCAGCCAAAGTGTTTCTATGAGGGTGTGATTACTTGTAGATATATTACTTAGCAGCGAAATGTGCTCTGTGCAATACGCAGACAGTTGACTTCACAGATCATAAAAATGCCACTGAACTTACCGGTTCCACGACAATACCGTAGTCTTGATCAAGATGTTCGAATCGGTTGAAGGGAACATAGTCGGGTCTGTCCTTTGGCAGCTGATAGAAATCAATGTCTGAACAGCACTTGATCACTTTCCAGATAAATCTTTTGCTTGCATCATCAATTTTTAGCAAGAAGTTTGGCTGATTGGAAAGCCGAATCCACAATGCTGTGGACAAAAACTTGTGTTACACACAGGGTGTTACACAAGATGTTGCAGGACGACTATAGCTATACCACAGCATTAGTGAAGTATGCAATGAGCATGGCCTTCAGAAAATAAGACATCTATTATGTTTGAATAACCAAAATTGTAATAACAATAATTATACTAATTGAACTGCTGCGCACATTCTAAGTAAAACGAAACATGTCTCTGTTGTATACGCAACATGACGGCGGACCAATACAAAAACACAATGCAGACTGGGAACCACAAAAGTTCCTGCATAGCTAATATGCATAACTTACTTGGAAGAGTGATCCCATCTAGGCCTTCTAGAGCTATTTCATCCAGGGTAACAGCGCAGTAGTCCAGGGAATCCAGACTTGACCGTGTCATGCTCGTCATGATGGACTGCTCCTTTGGCATCCGACCACCTGCACCATGGAGCAGGGTGATGAGGCAAGTTGCTACATGAGCCAACACTGAAGCCAGACACAGTCAATTCTCCAGCAAGGACACATACACAAGACATTTTGTCACTCATTCATAGCCAGTCAAACCCTCTAAAGAGAGTACCATTTCTCAAGGGACACAAAAACGTCCTTTGTCCCTCCATAACACAAGATCATGTGGCTGGCTGCAGCCTATGACAGGTGATTGATAACAACATGGCAATGGATCATGGGCTTACACATTTTCAATCCAAGCAACAGACACAAATGCATTCTCTGTGAACCAAGTGAAACATTTTGGCATGGTACCCATAGGAACTTGCAAACCAATTTTGGACATTTCTCACAAACCACATGTGAGACAGGTTGTGAAACAGGTAGGAAGACATTGCTGTCATCTAAAGGCATAAATTCCTGAGTTTCTGAAAATGAAGTTATTCAAATAATTTGATGCAACTCAGAGAACTGCACATTGCAATGTTATGAAAGAAACACCAAAAAACTGTGTTTGATAGTCTCCAAATTTCATTTTCTAGGCACATAAGCATGTTAAATCTGCCAAAATCTACAAAACACCTAGATGGATGGACAATTATATCATAATGGTATAATAAAGCAAACTGTCCTGGACAATCTACCTAATGGCTCTTCAGCTTTTTGCCTTTGGATGGCAGACTGGGGTCTACACCTACACCTCTACATCTATTTGAGTCCTGCCAGGTACTGCATGCCCCAAACCATACTGGGTGCCTAATTTATTAGTGAGTCAAGCAATCAATGGTGTAATAATCCTGAGTGGTGGTACCTCTGCAGCAGTCTTTTTTTAGTATTTCTTTTCATGTAATGCTTTAAAAGGAGCGTTCCACATTTCTGTGGCGTCTCGAGTTAAAATAGCCATCTTAAACACCTTTTGGTGCAGTTCACAGCACCACCCTTCTTAAGACCTAGCCTCCTACTTTCTAGCCTACACACCAGGAAATATAGGGAGATCATTTTGGGAAGTGTTTTTCAAGTTCACCTTAGCATTCATGATGTCCTTGTAACGAATCCGGCCTATTCACAGGCCGTGCGGCGATCACCACCAAGAGCAAAATGGTCGAGTCGTTCATATTTGGCATCCAGGGGCACAATATACAGATATAACAGTTGTCAATTGGGTCTCAATCAATGTTGTGCGAGGCTTGTCATCCCTTTAAGGTCAATGCTAAGTTTTAAGACAAGTGGCTGCTGCCATCCCTCCCCTCCTTCCCTGCCTTTGTAATTGTGCATCCCCAGCCACCCTTGCCTGCTGTTGACTCCTCTGACAAGGCAATACAGCACAGTACCTGGTGACTCACCTCCACACTCTGGGGTTATCATTGTGTTTTAAGTGTGCATCATCTGTGAATCCTCATGTCATACATCCCAAACTTGCCAAACTGCAGCATGCATGCAACTACTGGGGTAGTTAATCTGGATAATGTGTGAGATGTCCCAGTCTAGATCCCCCTTCCCAGACAGCTCTCTAGGATAGCCAGTATGCAGTCAGCACAGTCAGAACGTGCCCTAGTGACAGGGCCCCATCCAGCACGATGGAGGATGGGGTGGCTGCTGCACCAGTGACAGGGCCCCATCCAGCACGATGGAGGATGGGGTGGCTGCTGCACCAGTGACAGGGCCCTATCCAGCACGATGGAGGATGGGGTGGCTGCTGCACCAGTGACAGGACCCCATCAGGTGCGATGGACAATGGGGCAGCTGCTGCCCCAGTGACAGGACCCCATCAGGTGCAATGGAGGGTGGGGTGGATGCTGCACCAGCGACATGACCCCACCAGGTGTGATGGAGGGTGGGGCGGATGCTGCACCAGTGCCAGGACCCCATCAAGTGTGATCGAGGATGGGGCTGATGCTGCCCCAGTGACAGAGCCCCATCAATGCGGCTGTGAGCAGCTGCTGCCAGCCCGCCCCATGCGCACCACTGATAGACCCATCTGGTTATACTCCAGCTGGGGGCCAGCATTCCCACAGGATGGTAGCAGTTGGCCCTGGCCGGTGGACCCTGCAGTGGACCTATGCAGCCGCCTGGCAGACCCACGCCAGGGCTGAAGTTAGCTGGCAGCAGGCTGGGGCCATTGTGAGCATTTCCCAGCCACATTAGTATTGTGACTGTTAGTCATACTTCAGCAAGCAGACCTTCAGTGCATAGTACCTGTTAGTTGTTACCAAGAGAGGATGGGCAGCAGCCTTCTCACAGAGAAAAAGAGAGGCAGATGACAAGAAGTTGTCATCAAGTTATTCTGAGTGCTTGGCTGGAATAAGCAGGTCTTTCACATCTGAAAAAGCAAGGTTTAATGATAAGTGATGTTATACCTTGCATTGCTAACACCATCCATTTTTGATAACCAAATTTTAAGGACATCCTAATTCAACAGTCCCTGTTACAAACCTGAGGTTAAACTCATCTTGATACTGGGCATGCTGCATAACAGAGTGTCATTTAACCAAGCTGCCCCACTCTGAGTGTGAGACAACCATCCAAGAGGGATTTATTCAAACAAGTATCTTGCCTTGGACATGAGGATACTTATGCTGGCTGTTAAACAGAGGCTTGGCACATAGTTTTGCAATCAAATGTGAATCAAAAGCCTTCTGCACTTGAGTCTCAAGGCCCAAGTGCATATCAGTGAACAACAAATGGTTGTAAACTCATGCCACCTATGATTGCTGTCCCATGACAAACATAAGATGTGCTAATATTTTGGCCTTCCAGGAACCTGGAGGTTTTTTAGTCTTTTTTGTGACCACATTCAGATGAGCTGACTATACCACATACAAATACTATGACAGAAAATAGACAAAAAGGCAGACCAGTTCCAGCCCATAATAGCTTAGCAGTTGATCACAATCATAGCAAGTTAACATTTACACCAACATACTTTCTTATGCACTTGAGCACACAGAGACTTCGGAAGTTTTCAGCACATGACGTGTTGTCTAGTTTTGATATCCTGGGGAGAGCAAGGGTGCTCCCCTGATCTGATTCATGTGCTCATGCCAACTCCATTAACCCAAAAAGGTCATATCATAGCCATGCTACAGCACTTTTACAAAAGGGGCAGTAAACACAGTCCACCTTTGATGTCTCTACAATTTTGAAGATCTGAATTGGCACCATGTGCCAGGTCACACAATACACTTATTTCTGCAAAGCAGTGGATAGCAAAGTTCCTATGGATAGCAGAGAGCACATTTTTCGGACGCTGTAAATTAGATATAAGGCCTGCTCCAAACATGTCGACTGGTTTACTACCCCATACAGACTGCGCTAGGTTGCTACAGACTGTTTGCCCGGTGTTCTCCAAGACGCCGCTTGCTTTTAAGGACTGCAGTACTGCTGCAGCACTAATATTTCCTTGAAAACAAGACAGAATCAACTCACAATTTAAGGATCTTATTTTCAAAAAACCAGGCCAATTACACTCTGTTTTTTACATATTCCCGGGCAAATTAGTGACCTTCACGCCCACCCGCAACACCCCTGCCATACATCCTGCTGTAAATAAACACGGTCATTGAATGTTGCGCAACTTATCCAGGTGTGGGGGTGCACAAACATGCAGCTAATGATGACGTCATTGCTTCCAATAAAAACAACGCCGCCATCAATATCATTGCTGTGAATGAATGAAATCCGACTATAAAGGTGACCAATACTTTTCAACCGCACATTTCACAGATTACCACCTCCAACCACCCTCTTGAAACCGACGACCAGGACCTGAGCGGACGATACTGACAGTGAGGTTGGCTGCTCCGGTGGTGTAGGAGAGGACGCAACCACACAGGGCAGCAACCGCAGTTATTCCAGGTAAGAAACAGCATCCACAACAACGACGTCACTGTAGCCTCATGTATTTGAATATTATCTCTTACACGTCCTTGCATGTTAAATTACTCATTGTGCTGTGCACGGCTATATTAGGTGGCTGATGCTTATGATTTGACTTCGCTTAAATTAATCAGGTTTACGGCCATCAGAAACAGACAGAAATAAAAAATGAAATTGACAATTAGCTCTGCAGTACAAAGCAAGGCGAATATACGACCTGCTACGGCCTTGACATAATGAACAAAGCATCTTTAAACGAAGACGAAATCCGCGCCACTTAACGGTAGTGATCGCGCGCCCGCCGTGCGTGGCGGGGAAGTACCGGGGCGCTGCGTATTTTTGTGTGATGTGGCTGCACTTTCAAACAAATGTCAAAATTTAACCATTGAGTGGGTACCTGATTGCCTGAAAACATCTTACATGGGCTAGGTGAGACCATTGTGTTATTCTTTTTTGCTATGGAGGCGCAGGATCCCGGCAATTTAAACTTCATTTGTCAAGCTTAACTTCCTCTTCATTTGCATTAACCAATCTTTGATGCAATTGTAAAGTCAAAGACGCCAGCGCATACATTTTGTAACGGTAAATAGCAAGTGACATGCGGATGCTATCAAAATACTGGGGGCTGTCGTTGGTGAATGCCAGTCAGCAAGAAACTATCCACTGCGCAGAACGTTTGTGTGGCGTCGGCGCGCTGGATGCCTGGGGCACGCGTGCATCGATCTCAGGCTCGACTCATCACAAAAATTTGCTAGTCTTGCAAACTGATTTTCTTTCAAAACATGTTTTAAACATGTCTTTACCAGAAGTTTCCTTGCCAAGATCATAATTCTGTGAAACATTGGGCCTAAGCACTCAAATTAGTGTTGCCTGTGCATCAAATTCCAGGTCATCAAATTTAGGGTGTGCATGTGCTGAACTGATGACCAGAATCTTGGTGCTGTGCTGGTAATGTTTGACCTAACCTTTATTTTTCAGTAATGGTGTTAGTCAGTTTGTGTTTTGATAATACCTCAGGAATAGGCGGTGTAGGTGTACTTTCCTACCTAACGTTAGAAAAAATCATTGCACACCATTCGTCGTGTTTAAGGCGGCACATATCGTAAATAATCTCAAAACAGGTAGAATCATGCTCCTACCTTCAAATTTCAACAACCTCGATGGCAGGCTCAGGCTCCCGAGCAGTCGCGCCGTTTCTGTGTTGCCGTTGCGTAAATACAATATTTCTGCTTACCAAGAACTGTACAAAATGTATGGGACCAAGGTAAACCATTCGTCGTGTTTAAGGCGGAACACATCGTAAATAATTTCAAAACAGATAGAATCATGCTTCTACCCTCAAATTTTAATAAATACGATAGCTAGCTCCCGAGCGCCGCACGCACCGCACCGCACCGCCTCGACTCCCAAGCGCCGTTTCTGCGTTGTTGCAAAAGCACAATATTTCTGCTTATCAAGAACCATAAAACATGTATGGGACCAAGGTAGCAATAATAAAGCAACCAAAATCGTTTCTTATCGAGTTTAGGTACATTTATGAAACACACAGGCCAGAATAGTCCAGAACATATCCTAACCTAACCTAACCTAACCTAACCTAACCTAACCTAACCTAACCTAACCTAGCCTAACCTAACCTAACCTAACCTAACCTAACCTAACCTAACCTAACCTAATGTAACCTAACCTAACCTAACCTGAGAACAGACCAGAACCTAAGCTGAGCTAAGCTATGCTAAGCTAACCTAACCTAACCAAACCTAACCTAACTAACCTAACCTAACCTAACCTAACCTCACCACCCTATATCCCCTTCAACCCAGCATGCCATTGGCATCCATGTTCCATGCCATATATAGGTGCCATATAGTGAGCTTTAATTAGCTGCCATGTTCTCATTTTGCTTTACATTCCCCACCCAATCCCCCTGCAACCCATGGTGCCGTTGGCGTCGAGGATCAAATTTCATGGATTCTTGTCACCTTGGCCCGGCACATTTGTATGGTTCTTGATGCTGCTTGATGCGCAGTAATGTTGTGACCCGCGCAGTAATGGCGCCGGCGTCGCGGGTGCTGTGTGCGTGCGGCGCTCGGGAGCTCGCCATCGTAATTATAAAAAAAATTGAAGGTGAGATGATGAATCTACCTGTTTTGTGATTATATATGATATGTCCTGCCTTAAACACGACGAATGGTTTACCTTGGTCCCGTACATTTTGTAGAGTTCTTGGTAAGCAGAAATATTGTGTTTACGCAACGGCAACGCAGAAACGGCGCTGGGGAGTCCAGGCGGTGCGGTGCGCGCGGCGCTCGGGAGCCCGCCATCGAAGTTATTGAAATTCGAAGGTAGGAGCATGATTCTACCTGTTTTGAGATTATTTACGATATGTCCTGCCTTAAACACGACAAATGGTGTACAATGATTTTTTCTCACGTTAGGTAGGAAAGTACACCCTGACCGAATAGGCTTATGTTAATATGTGATAACTCAAATCAAGTTGCTTTGCTGCCATTACTGGTATGAAGGTTGAGATTTTATCAGGGTATAAGTGTGTACTGCTTCCAAATTTAGCAGCTTGTCAGAATTGATTTGGTTGGATTATTGAGGGTGCCGTAAGGTGGGCTGCAATATACAAAACTAGTGACATTGTAGAAAATGTTCAAAATATTCTGGTAACCAATTTTGGGAAGCAGGCAGAAATAATTCTAGCTGGACCAATCTTAACTGGGCCAATTATCTGTCTTACTAACTGTCTTAACTGGGCCAATTATCATCTTGTTTCATTTGGGGCAGGATACTGTCTCCCAAATATATTGATACACTGACCAGGGTTTGAAGACCAGCCCCTGCAACATTGAAAGTTTTCATGCTCATGTTTTTCATAGAAGCACTTCTCTGTCTTAAATGATCTGCAATGTGAGGATCCATGTGTGGGTCAGTTTTCAAATAATCCTTCATCAGGTTGGAATGCTTTTGTGACATTGATGCACTGTGACTGTAGCTGGTATGTGCTAAACCCAGGCCAGGCCAAACTGGGTGAAATTTCCAAATAATTGCACTGCAAAAATTTGAGGGAATTTTTCATGAAATTACCTTTGTAATGCCCTGAGTCCTTATGTTATCAACTCTCTACACACTGGAGCTGCCAGCTTTCTATGCGCCATATGCTGAACTCTGACACTGAAATTGTTTCAGGATGCCATTGGTTCCCCTGTTAGGTTAAGAGTAACATGCATTTTTTTGCAGTCTGGTGGTTGGGTTATGATGAGATATGGTATATGGCAAAGAGGTCTGCTTGCCTTTCAGTGGATACAAAGTGTAGTAAAGCGTTTTATCAAGGAAAGCAAAAAGTTGTGCCAGAGCGAAGTCATTAAATGCAAGGGAGCATACTGTTTTCAGTTGCTATCTTATTATTTTTATCTCGGAAATCAATTGTTGATAAATGTCATTGCCCCACTAACACCACAAAGCTAACAGACAGACACTTTCTGCCACAGGCCACTTTTGCCTGCTGGGGGCAGCATATCTCCACTGCCTCAACAGCCATGCAGCATGGGGTGCCGTCGCTGGAGGACGTCTGCTGCCACTCGCTGCTGCAATTCTCATCCACCACCAAGGGGGTGCTGCAGGATCCGCTGCCGGGACGCATACGCACCTGCCTGGTGCGCCGCATCATCCTGGAGGGGCGTGTCACCTCCCTGGTGGCGGCGCTCTCCACGTGGCCGGAGCACACGCTGACCGTGGGCGACCTGTGCTGCCGCGACCCGATCCTCTTCGGCCACAACCCCAGCCTGGAGACGCGCCAGATGGTGCCGCAGCTACTGGAGCACAGCCTGGATGGCGTACGGTCTGGCCTGTCCAGCCTGTGCGGCGAAGAGCAGCGCTCGCTGCCCGTGCCTTTCTTGTGTGCCCGCTACCTGGAGGTGGTCGTGAACAACCGGCACGCACGGCTGCGCCACCTCGACCTCACTTTCTATGGCTTGGTTAGCCTGCCGGACATGGTGCCCGTGATGGATGCGCTGGAGGCGCTGTACCAGCGCGACATGCGCGCCGGCCTCGCGTTCACCGAGCCGTGCGTCATGTCGGTGAGCGTGGCGTTCTCGTCGGCGTGCTCGTCGCGCGAGCCGCTGGAGGCGTCCGCCAAACGACTGGCGCGCCTGCTGCAGCTGCAGGCGCTGCGCACCACGCGCTGCCAGCTGCGCGTGGCCGGTCTCCACTCGGAGACGGTCGACGGCGACAAGACGCCGCGCCGCCTGCTGAAGCTTCTCGCGCGCCATCGCTGCCCGCTGCACCTGCTGCTGGCGCACGGGCCGGGCGAGTGGTGGCGCAGCAGCCACATGGAGACGCTCAGCAGCTTCCCGCGGCTGCGGCTGCTCGGCGCCGGCGCGTGCAGCTGGACGCGCAGCCGCCCGCCGCCCAGCACGCCGGCCGAGGTGCCCAAGCAGCGGCTGGCCCGCGGCCTGTCACTGATGGGCTGCGCGCCGGCCGTGGCGAGCCGCCTGATGACCGCGTTCCGACCGCCGGCGCGGCTGCGCTCCCTCTCCGTCTCGTCCAACCTGCTGTGCGTGCTGGGGCCGGCCAAGCTGGTCGGCCTGCGCCGGCTTACGCTCGGCCTCGGTCACGGCGCTGTCGCCGAGCGTGCCGGCGACGTGGAGCGTCTGCTGCGCAGCGCTTGGCACGTACAGCGACCTGGAGCTGCTGATGGTCGACGAACCGCTCGACGAGGAGCACGTGGCGCTGCTGGCTGGCGCACTGCCGCGGCTGACGGCGCTGCAGTTCGCGCGGCTGCCGGCCGACCTGCCGGAGCCATTGCCGGCGCTGGTGAAGCTGTGTACCGCCGCACAGCGGCTGCCGGAGCTGGTGGCGCTGCACGTGGAGCTGCTGCCACTGGAGGTGGTCGGGCCGGACGATCCGCCCGGCCGCGACTTGCGGAAGCTGGTCGACCAGCTACGCGTGCTGCTCGGGGCGCCGGCGCTCAGCGATGTGTGCCTCTACCTGACCGAGTCGGTGCCGGGCGAGTTTGACTCACGCGAGAGGCTGCTGCTGTGAGCTCGAGGACGGAACGCTCGCTCCGCGCGGCGCACTCATCAGCCGACCCAGCCCGGTAGCGTCACCGTTTGGACGGCGCCAGGGGGCTCCAGGCAGCGCCAGGGAAAGCTGGACTTCCCGCAGTGACGCAGCGAACTTCTGTGGCGGTTGGCCTTCCCTGTAAGTGGCGGCGTCTCGCTGACGAGCAGTCATTTCATCGAAGTTACCTCATGTTGGGCGATGCCTTCAGCACCTGACTGCAGTTATAATAATCATGCCAAACACTATCCCGCCAGGGAAGTTGTACAATGTTTGTCTAACGTAGATGGGAACCTGCATGTATATTTGGGCGACACCGATTTACCCGTGTCCGTGTGTAAAGGATCTTTCATCAGGGCGCCACGTGTGTTTCATGTATTGCATCTCAGGAGCTTGTGTGTCGCTGTGACATGCTGTCTGGTGGAGAAGGAGCGGGTGTTACGTTGTCGGCAGAGATCTCATCTAGAGGCGAGACGTAGGCAGGGAACAGCATTTTGCTCCCTTGCGAATCTACTACGGAAAGCTCATCTGTCCAGGTCTTTCGTCCTCCAGGATGTCCGTCCCACTCTCCGCGTGCTATTGTGAGGTGCGCAAAAGCTGTCGCGCCATGTTTATGAAAAGTAGCTTTATGACGTTACCAAAGCGCTTGGATCCGAGCAGCTACATTTTATGACACGCGGAAGTGTCTATTGTAGTTCACGTTCGATTCATGCATGTGCAGACACATCTGTGCGGGTTGTAAGTAGTGCCTTTCAGGCTGTGCTTGTCAGCGGAGGTCGTAGATTGCGGAGTCTTGACAGTACTCCGCTGGGCCGAGGTATGTTACCACAGTGTGCTCTGCTGGCTGCACTGTGTAACTTGTACAACTGTTAACCGGGTATTCAATGCAGGTGGTGTTTTGCCACGTTTGACCATTGGCTTTGGTTGAAACCGCGTGTTGCTGACATTCACATATGCTGTGAAGTGTGTATATTTTTCAATACAGTGGAACTGAAAGGGTACGTTCCCGGATATTTTCCCTGTTGTAGGCCGCAGGAGCTTCAGCGTGGTCCCGCAGATATCAGCAGTCTCTTTAGGCGTGCAGGCTCGCGCCTCCAGCCCTGACTCGTGTGACCTCTGTACCACTCTGAAACAGGGCTGGATGTCCCGCGACCATGGATGGTGGGTCGGAGATAAGGGCATCGTGGATCAACACCATATTTGATGAGTGGAATGCCGGAGGTCGCACGGCGTAAAGGTGGCACGGGCACTTAACAGAACTCTTCCCGTTCATGGATGGGACTGACTTGAAGCCCTCTCAAAATACAAAATAAGATTTGGCTGGAATAGAGAACTACACAGTCCAAATGAAGTGCAACGGGTTGAACGGGCAAACTTTCAACTTGTGACGCAACTGTGCGCACATGGACAACGCTTTGTATCCCTTTCACAGGGCCTCGTTTTCCGAAGTTTCCGGTGTGTATATCGCCTCCTCTCCCCTAACATTTTACCAAAATGGCTAAAAAGACAAAACAAGTGAACGTAACCACCCATATTTGGGGGCCAATGCTACCCTCGTCTCCTCTCCTTGCCCTCGTTCGTTTCACTTAGCTTCACCCACATACGTGTGGGGTGCCTTTGGCGCTGTGGGAAGTTGCCCGCCTGGCAAACCAAAGATACTGGTCCGATTCCCCGCGGTGCCCACCCTTCCTGCTGAGGTGAGAGGCAGTCAACACCTTACATCCTCAGTAGCGGGAGCCTCGTAAAGCACTAATGATGCACTGATAGGATGGACACAACTAAGCGTAACGTCTCGCTGTGACGCATGCCAATGTCGACACCACATTTCAAATGAGACCGAAGGCCGAGCAAGTCTACTGTATCAGAAATGCCGTCTTCGACTGAAATGGTCGGGCGCGGCCCGGATCAGCCCAGTTAGGCCTTCACGCTGGCTATAATGTGATGTCTTTGTAGCCGCAGTTGCAGCCTGATGAATATTTCCACCAGGTAAGGCAACTTATGTTGAAGTCAGATGTCGCACGCTTAACTTTTAAAAGCTACGTGGCGTAATTTTTAGGCCTTTGCTCGGTGGCTGTTTAATTGGGAGTGGCCTTCCTGCGATTTAGCAGTTCGAGCAAAGAAAAGCATTCTACATTCAACTAACCGAAGAAACGTGGAATTTGTTTCTAGCCAAAAGGCTCGACATTACCACTCGCAACAGGGACAGGATTTTGACCTGGTGTCGTAGCGATGTGGGACAAACACAGTTTGGCAGTCGAGAGAATGGGTAGTCGTGACCAGCGGAACGCATCGATGGGTACAGCGATCCACACACCCAACAGCTAACTCAAAATTTTCCCGCTTTGAGAAGCGTTGTTAAGAATTTGTGTCGCATTTCGGCAGTCGGAGCGGATGACATCAAGCCAACTGCATTATTTAGATAAATGCATCGTTTACAAATGGCAGTGCAACAGATCTCTCTGCGACACTATGCTTCGCCGCGAAGCTGCCAGTGGCACATTTGCTGAAACCTGTGTCGAATGTAAGATGCTATCACCTTATGCACTACTGTCAATTTGTTTCCTTCTGGTCGGGCCTCTGCTTCCCCCTACCCATGAGGGCCAAACTCCCCCCCCCCCCCTCACGGTGGGTTTACCCCCCCAACCTTTTGGAGATTTAGTACAGCAAAACATTTAAAATGCGAACTGAAAATTATACTTAGATTTAAGAGAGCTTCTTAAAGATTTTCGCAGGTTAAAGGAATGCGGGAAATGAACACTGCTATGTCCTGTCCAGTTAAATACAGCTGACTGAGCTAGCCCCAGTTTTGTGCCATATTTTTTCTCGCGCTGATGCCATATTTTCTTGAATATTGTCTTTTTTTGCTGTATGCTGCGTGGTTTTTATTACAAGATTCATGTCCTGGTCTAGTTTTGTTGTGGAATATCATTCAGCGATGTTTTAGCTTCTACAGCCCGCAATAGGTTCCATTATTCTGCCTCGAAATCTTGTCGGTGAATCATCAGCGAATGCAAGCAAAGTGATCGCATATTAGCGCACCAAAACGTGACAAATTTGCTAACCGTCAATTTAAAAATTCTTCAGATGTACCTACTTCCATTTCAACGAGCATTTTCAATGAAACAGTTGCAAAAACCTGACGACTGATACTACGTAACAACACCGATACCGGTAATCGTGCAACAGCGGCGACGACCAAAACAACGCAAGCCGTGCCGGACATCCTGTAGTAACAGTAGCCCACATCAGCTAACACTCTGTACTATCAAAGCTGTCTACGTGGAATAACATTTAAAACCGCATGACATCGGTTCTATCTGCTACATTGGCCTCATGTCGATGACCAAAACCTAGCTGTGACCGTCAACGCCGAACAAAATCATGATGTTCGTGGGCGGTGTGAAGTCGAGGTCGAGGCAGAGCGAGAAAACGTGGTGGAGCAGGGATGTGGTCTCCCATTCAGCTGTTTCCTATTCAGTTGTTTCAGTTTCAGTTGCTTCCTATTCACGTATTATTTGCCCCACCAACGCAATGCACACGTAACTGAATCGTCAGAAGCGCACAGCCAGCCGGTGCGACCGACGCCGAGACATTCCGTGGCACATCGGGACGACGAGGCTGGGAAGCCCACTCTGCGTTATCCGTAATATCGGCAGTGGTAAGGAACCATCACCAACAAAGCTGCCAGATGAGCTGTCAGGCTAGGTCAGCGAAGATTTCGCTGACATCGAGTAGGAGACCTCTGACAATGTATTGGCAGCGACTCCGTTGGGTGTACGAGACTGTTGAGTTTGTTGTTTTGTTTGTTGAGTGTTTGTGAGCTGCCTTACCTACGACCTGTCGCAGAATCCGAACTTAAGTCCACCAAGGTGCCGATGAACACCAGCGGCGTTTGTGGTAGCAATGGGATAACGCTTCTTATTGCCAGGGTCTGCCTACCACTTCTAATACCAGTGGAACTGCACATTACCAACAGCAGGTTTGCCTTTGTGATGCCGCCATGGAAGTGGCAGGCATCACTTGTGGGGCGGATCTTTAAGCCTGGCCTTATTAGGGCTAACTTCAAACCGATCTCGGTCATTCCCGTAGGGCCTAAGCTGGAAGAGAAACTGGTGCGTCATCAGCTTTTAACGCATTCTACATCGCGTGCCCCGATGTCTCGAGACGCGCCGGGCGCCGCATCAGTCATTGGCTGAAGACGGCAAGTCTGAGCATTCCAGATAGCGTTTTCAAGCCAAGGATTTCGGCCAGGTAGCGCTGATGGGACTATTTCAGCTATAAAAGGCATTTGACTGTGCCTATCACTATCTGACAGCAGAATTATGACTCAACGGCGCGTGAAACCCGTAACACACCGATTACCTCTCGCGCCATTCACAGCCAGTTGGATGTTAGATCTCGGGCAGCAATACTCGCCCTAATACCCGCAGTGTATACCGGTTTTCGTCCACGGATCCCACTCTCAGTATATTCAAGAACGAGAGTGATCGTCATGTAGGTGCCGCGCAGCTCAAGCGTTACACGGTTGACTGCCAAGCACTTGACACAGGAGGCCCTCGGAATCTGAACGAACTTGTAGAAGTCATGGAGGAATCCCCTGCATTGCTGCACAACTGGCTCGCATACAACGGGATTAACGGGAACCTATCAAAGACCCGCATTGCAACTAGTTGTTTGGAACCTGTCCGTGTATTAGAAGCCTTTCCCTCGGGCGGCCCTACTTTGACTGACTTATCACCACAGACAGAGATATGCAGCAAGCCGGGTGTATTTTTCATGAAACCTTGTTATAGACATCACGCCACCATATGATTTGACTGAAATGCACAGGTATTCTAGTTGCGCTATTATATTATCGTCATCTGATGCCAAAGAGCATTATGCATCAAACATTGCTGTCGCTTCTTCTGCCGAATGTATTCTACTGCACCACTGTTGCAGGTGCAGCTGGGGCTGCATATGTACTGCTGCTTTTCGACCGC